ATAAACTTAATTATTATTATATGAAATATAATATAATCAATTTGTAACATTTTAAGAGTCTAGGGTATTTATCTCGATTATATAAACAAAGATGATAAATGACTATTTTTTAGAAGGTATCTTGAATTTCTGATAAATATGATAATATGTAATGAATGAATATTAAGAATAGATAATCATTTAAATTGTTGAACTTGAATTTTTTATTGAATAAAACAAGTAATAAAAATAATTGAAATAGATATAATTATCATAAAAAGAAGAAGACAAGAAAATTAAATAAATAAGGTTAATTAATAAAAATAACAATTGTATATATTATTAAAAGTGTTCAACTTCATGGATTTTCACTTTCTAAAGATCTCATGATTCTTTGATGCAAACTATTAATAGAACTCAACATATATTATTCAAATTTTAATAGAAACAATAGATCTTTTGTCATTTGTTATTTACTTAGAAGCTATCTTTACATATTAATTTGTAGTTATTTTCATTTTTCTTTTTTACCACTTTGAGAGGAAGTTATAAATTATCTTTAGCTTTTTGTTTGCAGATGAGAAGACTTGACTTCTTCAACAGATTGATTTTCATTAAAATCAAATGAGATTTCACTTTTAGACATAATGAATTAAATTATATAAAAATTTAATACTGTATTTATATAAAGATGGAAACTGTATGGTATTAATTGGATAAACATTAATTATGTATATGAAAATAATTAATGAAATAGAAGAGAAATTAGTATTTGATACAAAGTTAAAATTTGTTTGTTTATATTTTCATTAATTATTTTTACAACTGGAACTTGTAAATAATGTAAATAGTCAACAGTATTTGAAATAAGAAAATTTAAATAATTTAATTCTAGACATTTACTTTAAAGAAAGTGAAAATGAAGTAGTAGATGGTTATTAAGTTAATGCATTATTATTTTATGGAAAAAACTTAATATGGAAAAGATACAATTATGAATTGGAAATTTTTTCAGATTCAGATGAAGTCATTCAAAAAGCAACACTTAAACTTAGTTAATTAAATTATTTAAGACTAGTAAGCATAATGATAAATTGTTTTTTTAGTAATATCAATAGATAAAATATTCTAAAATAAAGTAATTCATTTTGAATCAACAAACTCAATAATCTTTTAAAAGAAGAATTAATGTAAGTGTTATTAAGAAAACCTACTTTAAAAAGAATTTTAAATATAAAAAAGAGAATTAGTCTCCACTACAAATTGCTGTTTTAGGACATATCAGAGCAGAATCTTGGACAAAACTTTTCGAAGCATTTACGGAAAAACATAAATTACATGATGCAGAACAAGGTATAATTCCAATTGAAAATAAAATTGGATCAATTAATTTTATCAAAATGCATGGTCAAATACTAGAAAAACGAGATTGTATACTTGTTGATTTACAAAATTATGTTCATATTATAGATTCAAGTAGAAAAGTAATATCAAAATACATTTTTATTGAATAATTTATAAAATATAGATTAAGATATTTATTTTATTATTATTAGCAATTAAAAAATTAATATTTTTCATTTAAAAAATTAATACGACAAGAACACACTTTCAAAGACATTGTTGATAAAATTTAATAATAATGTAAGGAGGAGGAAACTTTAATATTTTATGGGTAAAAGAAATCTAAAATTTGGGATTTTGAAAATTGATAAACAAATGAAACAAGAAAATATTCTCAACCTATTAAATTTTTTAGGCTTGTTCCTAAATCATCAGAAATAGAAATTATGTAAACAATAATAAACAAATATATTGATAGCTAAGATATTTTCTAAATGATATGACTATTTTTATAAAATATGTTAAATTATTTATTTAGATATATAGTATTTAAAATGTAATACAAATCTATTAGATTGAAAACAAAAAAAAATATAATTTAATAGGTATTTATGTATAATATTTTCTTAGTAATTTATATATCACATAAATGGTTACGGTCTCGAAGCTTGACTTATATTTAACAGAATTTTTAATCTATCATTTTCATCCTTCAATCTCTTATTTTCTGATTCTAGATTATTAGAATTTTCTAATTTATCAACTCTTTGAATTGGTTAAATTTATTTTTACTATTAATTTTAGAATTAAACTTATAATATCTCCATCTATTATTTCAAATGAGTTTTTTCAATTTCTAAATCGGATGCTGTTTAAAAACATACTTTAATTCATCAAATCCTTTCTAATATAATATTTTTTAATATCAATTACCTAAGATTATCTAATTCTTATTTCAATCTTTAATTTTCCTCTTATATTACATCAGCTAATCTCATTATGTCTTCAACACTACTTTTAGAAAATTTAAGACTATCTAATTCTGTTCTCAATTATTTATTCTCTTTTCTTGAATTCATTTCTATCTGAAATAAATCTTGCTGTTAATTCTCTTATTTCTCTATCTATTTAAATCCTTCTTTAATGCTCTTTTTAACGTTAATCTTCGCTTCTCTTTTTCTCTATTTACAAATTTGACTCTCCATTATTCACTCTCATACTATATTTTTTTCTCATAATCTCCTATTTAATCTATCATTTTCAACTGATAACAGAAATGCTACCATATATACATCCTCTTCTAAGCAAGGCTTCTATCGAGGTTATCCTCCTTACATCTCTTAAAAATTTGATCTTTCTTCTATCATATTATCTTTTATTAAACTTAAAATGAATAACTATAATCTTTTTATTCATATAATTATTTTGAATTACATACCTTTATGATTTTATTATAGCTAATATTCTGGCTCTTAAAATTTGATTAAAGCGCTATTTAATGTTGATTTGATATAGCTAAAGGATTGGCATTTTTGATATCAATTGATTTCTTTACCCACTCAAAAATAACCCAATAAATAAATTTTAAAGATTAAATAACTTTAAGAAATGATTAAATTTAGAATATAAATCCAAAACTTTCCTCATCTTATTTTTTTGACTAAAACAAGAAATATTTTTTAATAAATGTATTATTTGTGCTTATTAAAAAAAGAAATGAGATATAAATCCATTCTTATTTAAAAATGTATTGAAATATGCAAATTATTTCAATCTAATCTAAAGGATTATTAGAATGTTCAATTTCTGTTGCCTATATCTTTGTAAAGGTTTTAAAGACATGTTTAAAGAATTCCTCAAAGTATTCATAGAAACAACTGTTATTTTGATTTTTTATCTCATGCTTAAAAAGCAGAGAAATTCTCTATTACATTGTTATTTTAAAGGAGTTAATAGAAAATAGATCTTTTTTTAATAATATAAAACTTAAGTTTCTAGAACTTTTTTTTGTTAATATTTATGAAATCCAATAATAATCATTGCGAAATACATCCTAATAAAGAGATTGGTGGTATTTACAAAGAGATTGATAAACTTAAAATCTAAAGAAAAATTTGTATAGAATGTATTTTGCAATTCAATCTAACTGCCCAATAAGTATTACGCAAAGATGATTTTGTCAAAGAATTGCTTAAAAAGTCATAAAAATTAAATATGGTAACTTAGTTAAGATAAAATGAATCCAAATAACTTTTTAAAACAATATTATGCCAACTAGATAATATAGAAGAAGAAATATTGTTAATAATTTCAAGTGTTAAGGATTCCATTAAATCAATTTAAGTTGGTGAAAAATAGATTGATGATAGATTTCTTATAATTAAAGAAGATTTGAACCCTTTTGACTGCCCTAATTCTGAATTAGATGTTTTAGTCAATGTTTTAGAAGGAAATATCTTTGAAGAGTATATGTAACAAAAAAAAACTCTTTGCTCTCAAATTTAAAAAGCTCATGGGGTATTTGGTAAGATTGTATAAAATCTATATAAAACTTGTCATCTAATTCAAAATTTTGAAAAAAAATTGTAAATTTTCTTTAATATCAAAGTATTCAATAAAAAAATGAAGACACTGTTGTATCTTAAGTCGGTATTGATGATTAGTTCAAAAAAACTGAGTTTTAATTGAAAACACTTAAAAATGGAGTAAGGGTTTATGAAAAAGACCGGAAAATATTAAGAAAGTATATAAAGTTTAAATTATTAAGGGAAATTTTAAATTTGGCATCTATTAATGAAGATATTATCCAGAATATTGAATAATAAAAATATTTGGAGTTCAAAGGTTAATTTGGTGTAAAAGGATATAAAATATAATAATGGAATTACTTTTGGAAAGGAAAACATATTGGAGGAGGTCGTTTTAATATATATGGATAAAAAGATGAAAAATGGATTGATATATGCGAAAATTATTGCGAGTAATAAAAATAATATATTCAAGGAATAAAAAAGTTTTAGAAATCGGTTATTACACAAATGGTAAGAGAATAGGAGATTGGTTTTACAAAAAGGATAATTTAACAATGTAAAAATAAAGATTCAAAATAGTAGTGGTGGTGGATCATATGATTAAGATGGAGATTAGAAAAA